AGTTGATTCATATTATTCCCTATGGTAAAATGCGCGTAAATTAATTGGAACTTGGCTCTCCGATTTCCAATTCCATTATACATTACACTATCTATACATCCAACCTTACAGAACTTGGTATTCTCAACGGTCACCCATCTAGATTCTGACTAGGCTCGACATTGCTTATCGTAGGTGATCTTACGAGAACCGTTGTATCAATGTCTCATGATCGTAAACCCACGTGTTAGTTAAACATATAAATAAGAGGAGATACTGAGACGTTCTGGGTCCGATGCCCTTCCCAAAATCTGACGAACTGACTTTTGGAATGCCATCTTCGTTGGATTGAGAACGTTTCAGCAAGCACTAGTATAGCAATTGTTGTGAGTGAGTTATCAAAAACAACAGTAGAAAACCGGAATTTGTTTAACAACAAGTTTAATACCTTTTGGTACAGGGGAACATAATGTAGAATAGAAAATAGGGAAGAGAATGTTTAGCCGTGAATGACTTTTCAGCAAAAGCTAAAGCTGCCATGGCTCCCCTTGTTACTCCTCTTGATGTAGGAGTACTTTTATATCATTCATTCGACGGAAGAGTCCAAACTTGTAGAGAAATAACAACAGCAATGTGCACATACATATTCAAAAATAGAACATACAAAATAAACACCATACGGTACATACGTGACACTCTACTAAAACCAACGAAAACAAGACAAATATCTTCCTATTATAATTCTGCTTGTCCTTCCTTTTCTTAGTTATTTCGCACAACCGTTACGCCCTGCCAATATCTCAGAAATAACGGACTATTCTGTTTTGACAGCGCGAAATCAAGGGAAATGACATATCAGAGACACTACTTGGTTTCATTGTAAAAATAAAAAAGGAAGGAAGATATATGGCTTTAACGGCTATTTCAGTGAGTAATTAATTTCAAATTTCTTAAAATAACCGCCAGAATTCATATTTATGATTGTTATTGCAATATTTTGTTAAAGTTGTTAAGCTCAAATATGTAACAATGCGATAGGTGACATTTTACTGATATTTTATTGTCGTAGAACTCGCCATAAATTTATTCAATCATAAAACTAAATCATTATGATTCATCAGCATAATAGAAAAACCCTAATTTTTTTACGGTTACTTCTAGTAAATCTTAAAAACTAAAACGTACTTACCCATTATTTCACTCCCCCAAAATTCTGATGTAGCCAAATTAAATAGCGAAATATATTAAATTTATAAGGCTTTTCCTAATTGTTACTTATTTAAACGTTCTGTCGAATTTAACCCATATTGTCAACCCCCTCTCTCTATCTTTCTTTCTCTCACCCACATAAACCCACAGATAGACATAAATATGCTTATATTGTGTTATTCCGAAACAGATGTTACGTTTAGAAGACAGAATAGAAAATCGTGGGATGTTGAAAATTCCATAGGCAGAACATGTAACTAATGAGGAAGTATTAAAGAAAACGGGATAAAACTTAATAATCAACAAGAAATAGGTGAAAGATTATCGTACACATAATAAGGAAAGTGGGTTTGGAGAATCTGATACTCATATGACATACTGAAAGCAAGTGATGCAGTGAGAAAGAGTAAGTATCTTAAAGATAGAGTTTGTGTGAACGGATGACAGAACAAGAACAAAGGTGGGGGTAGTAAAGGGTAAAACGTTACGCATAACAAAGACAGACGGTATTCGCAGTGATGAGCCCGTAATCTACGGCCTGAATTGGAATGACACAAAGAAGAAGCATCAGCAGAAGCAGAAGCAGCAGCAGAAGTAGCATCAGTAGCAGCTGCAGGAGAAGAAGAAGATGAAGAAGAAGAAACAAGAAGAAGAAGAAGGAGCAGCAGCAGAAGCGGCAGCAGAGGAAAAAGCTGCTACAGAAGTAAAAGAAGCCGCGTAAGTAGAAGAAGAAGCAGTACCAGCAGCAGCAGAAGAAGAAGACGACGAAGAAGAAGGAGCAGCAGCAGAAGAAGCAGCAACAATAGCAGGAGAAAAAGTTGTGACAGAAGAAGCCGCGTCAAAAGCAGCAGCAGCAGTAGCAGCAGCAGCAGCAGCAGCAGCAGCAGCAGTAGCAACAGCAGCAGCAGCAGCAGCAGAAGAAGAAGAAGAAGAAGAAGAAGAACGTTGTAAAATGAAATTTATTTGTCTGGAACATAATTAGCAATGGCAAATAGCGATTTTGAAAGTAACTAATTTGTTCCTTCTTGAAAGAATCTGGGATTTTTCACCAAAAAAGATAATTCAGAATCGATCACTCTTACCTTTAAATTTCTTTCCGCTAAGAATGTTGTCTGGTGGTCCGAATAAAAGAAAATTTCAAATCGTGAAAGCCAGTGAATAGAAATAATAATGTCGACCCTGAGAAGCTAATCATTTGATCTTCCGAGTTTATTTCACTAAGTGTTGGTTTGTGTTGACACTCTGAAGAATAAAACACTTTCTCTTGATTAAATCAGGTCATAAATTGCCTTTCCTTACAAGTTCTTGACAGTAAAGACCAGCTTTGATTAGTTTGTTTCAGTCGAAGATCAAAAACTTACGAGGTCGAGATGCTGACATCGCTTTCTCATCCCAAATCAGTTACTTTAAACAAAAATCAAAGTATATATATATATATATATATATATATATATATATATAGAGAGAGAGAGAGAGAGAGAGAGAGAGACAGAGACAGAGAAAGAGAAAGAGAGAGAGAGAAAAAAAAAAAAAGTGATTAATAGAGAGAAATACAAGGAAAATTAAAGAAGACCAAGAGGATGTTTGAAATAGAGAGGGTGAAAAACATGAAGAGAAATTAGCTTGAAAAAGAAAGTGAAGACTGAGACAGAGAGTAAGAGAATGAGAGAGAGAGAGAGAGAGAGAGAGGGGGGGGAAGGGAGAGTAGGAAATTTGAGAAAGTAGATTGAAAAAAGAAATCGAGGACTAAAACAGTGTGAGACATAGAGTGAGAGAGAGTGACAGTGAGAGCGAGATGTTTTTTTTTTGTTTTTTATTTAAGGCATATCAACCTCAATGAGTTATTTAATGCCGGGTATTACGGGTAATAATCTTTTTTTAAAAAAAACGTATTGCTGGTAATAATTAAAAAAAAATAATTCTGGTAATATTTTTTTCAAAAATGTATTACTGGTAATAATTTTTTTCAAAATGTATTAATGATCATTTTTTTTTCATTTCTAAAATGTATTGCTGGTAATTTTTTTTTCCAAAAATGTATTGCCGGTATTAAATCCTATTTTTACACTTTCATAGTGTTTTGACCCTAGTTTGGGGGTAAATATTTGCCCATAGATGGGACCCTAACAGGAACTATCAACCCCGGTCAGAATGGACAGGGGAAAAACAGGAATTAAGAGGTGGTTGAACGCCCCTCAAAACCTCAAGAAGGCGAGATTGTAAAAGAGGCAAAATTAAATAAAAGAAAGGAAGAAATCGAGATAGTAAAAGGATCAATATTGAATAAGAGAAAGAAAGAAAAAAGGCGGCATTTTAAAAGAAGCAGAATTGAATTTAAAAAAGGAAGAAGACAAGACAGTTAAAGAAGCAAAATGAATAAAAGAAAGATGAAAGAGATAGACATGGTTTTCAGTAAATGTAAAATCTACTCTCAGAATAACAATTAGTGATATTATTAATCAGGAAGAAATCTTTTCAACATCAGTACAAAGAATGTCCATTTTCTTCTGGCGTTCTCTGGAAAACTTATTGCTTCGTGTAGCAGACTTGTTCTTCAAGACTCTTTAAGAATGTTTCAGTTTGATCGTGTCTGGGAAGTTGAAATAGAAAAAAGGAAGGCTTAGAAAAAGAAAGAAAAAGGAAAATAAACATCTCAGTAAAGAAATCGGGGTATATCATTAGAAAACTCTTATATCTTCTGCCCGCAAAGCCTTTAAAGAAAGACAAGCAAATAACAAATGACAACCAATGCGACCTCGCCACTTTCTCGTACATCCCCTGGCACTATTTTCACCCATGTATCACTCCGCGTTATCGATTCTGTCTGTGACTGTGACAAGGTTCTAATTAGTCGAGACAAACATCTATAATTTTCAAATTTTCTACTTGCGTTTGGCTTCTTTGTGTTTTAAATAGTTATCGTTTGTTCGCTACAATATTTAAAAAAAATATCTTCTTTTAAAATTTTGCCTCTAACAAAGCATGAATTTATCTCGTTCTGTTCATTATCTATCTATCTATCTATCTGATTCTGCTCTTATCTATCTATCTATCTATCTATCTATCTATCTATCTATCTATCTATCTGATTCTACTCTTATCTATCTATCTATCTATCTATCTATCTATCTATCTATCTATCTATCTATCTATCTGATTCTACTCTTATCTATCTATCTATCTATCTATCTATCTATCTATCTATCTATCTGATTCTACTCTTATCTATCTATCTATCTATCTATCTATCTATCTATCTATCTATCTATCTATCTATCTGATTCTGCCCCTCATTCATCTATCTATCTATCTATCTATCTATCTATCTATCTATCTATCTATCTATCTGATTCTGCTCCTATCTATCTATCTATCTATCTATCTATCTATCTATCTATCTATCTATCTATCTATCTATCTATCTGATTCTGCTCTTTATCTAGCTATCTATCTATCTCATATATATATATATATTCCTGCCTAAAACATAATTATCAACATATAAAAACTCAGTGTGTATCCGTATAAATTTTTGATGCAAAAATTTTTTTGAGCACATATATTACGCTCTGATCGAAAACAGAAGCGATAAATTGATACTCGGCAAAAGTGCCGATCTATTTGCGAATAATTCTATCAATTTTGACGTCTACTCTGTTACTTAATAGATAAAAAAAAGTTTTCTTTTAATTAAATAATTTGTTGCAGAAATGTGATAAGACCTCGAGCGACATGTCACTGTCTGTCAAACTTTGTATTCACAGGTGAGTTATGCATTAAATGATATAATTGTGGAGATAGGTTTATCTTTATTATAAACTCGAGTCATGTCTATGAAAAACTGATGACGGCAGTTTAGAGATCAGAAAAAAAAGATGAAAGAAAAGTATCGGAAGATAAAAAGTAAAGAAAGGAAAGTAAGAGACAAGGAAATGTGTAAAGAAAACAAAGAAAGAAAAGGAAGAAAAGAGAGAAAGAGAAGAAGTAAAGGAAGAAAGAAAAAAAGGGAGGAAAAGAAACAAAGAAAGAAATGAAGGGAGAAGAGGAAAGAATGAAATAAATAAAAAGGGGGAAACTGAGAGAAAGTAATGAAAGATTAGGGGGAAAGTAGGAAATAAAAGAATGAAGAAAAAAATGAAATGGGGGGATGCACAGGAATGAAAAATATAGGCGAAGAGGAAGGGAGGAAGTAAAAAAGGTGAAGTTCGTAAGAAAATGTTACAAAGAATAGAAGGAAAAGCGGGAAGAAAATGTAAGAAGAAAAGAAGGAAAAACGGGAAGATGAAAGAAGAGAAGAAGGAAAAACGGAAGAAATGGAAGAAGAAAACAAGGAAAAAGCAGGAAGAAAATCTAAGAAGAAAAGAATGAAAAACGGGACGGAAATTTAAGAACAAAAGAAGGATGACAATATAAGAAGTAAAGAAGGAAAAGCGAGAAGAAAATGGAAGAAGAAAAGAAGGAAGAAATTGTAAGAAGAAAAGAAAGAAAAGCCGGAAGAAAATTTGAGAAGAAAAGAAGGAAGAAAATGTAAGAAGAAAAGAAAGAAAAGCGGGAAGGAAATGTAAGAAGAAAAGAAAGAAAAGCGGGAAGAAATTGCTAGGAAAAAAGAAAGAAGAAAATGTAAGAGGAAAAGAAAGAAAAGCGGGAAGGAAATGGAAGAAGAAAAGAAAGAAAAGCGGGAAGAAATTGAAAAGAAAAAAGAAAGAAGAAAATGTAAGAGGAAAAGAAAGAAAAGCGGGAAGGAAATGTAAGACGAATTTAAGGAAAAGCGGGAAGAAAATGTAAGAAGAAAAGAAGGAAAAGCGAGAAGAAAATGTAAGAAAAAAAGAAAGAAAAGCGGGAAGCAAATGTGATAAGAAAAGAAGGAAGAACATGTAAAAAGAGAAGAGGGAAAAGAGGGGTGGTGAAATTGTAAGGAGAAAAGAAAGAAGAAAATGTGAAAAGTGAAAAGAAGGGGAAATCAACCTAAAAAGGTAAGAGCCAAAGATGGAAAAGCGGGAAGAAAATGTAAGAAGTAAAGAAGGAAATGCAGAAGAAAGTGTAAGCAGAATAGAAAGAAAATCCTGAAGAAAATGAACGAAAAAAAGAAGGAAAACCGTGAAGCAGATTTAAGAAGAAAAGAAGGAAGAAAATGAAAGAAGAAAAGAAAGAAAAACGGAAGAAAATGTAAGAACAGAAGGAAAAGCGGGAAGGAAATGTAAGAAGAATAAAATGGAAAGCAGGAAGAAATACAAGAAGAAATGAAGGAAAAGCGGGAAGAAAATGTAAGAAAAAAAAGAACAAAAAGCGGGAAGCAAATGTAAGAAGAAAACAAGGAAGAAAATGTACGAAGAAAAGAAGGAAAAGCGGGAAAAAATGTATGAAGAAAAGTAAGATAAGCGGCAAGAAAATGTAAGAAGAAAAAGAAAAGCTGAAAAAAAATGTAAGAAGAAAATAATGAAAAGCGGGAAGAAATTATAAGAAAAAAGTAGGAAAAGCGGGATATATATGTAAGATAAGATGGCAAAGCGGGACGAAAATAAACGAAGAAAAGAAGCAAAACCGTGAAGCAGAATTAAGAAGAAAAAAAGGAAGGAAATGTAAGAAGAATAGAAGGAAAAGCAGGAAGACGTAAAGTGATGGTAAGTGGTAAAATTTAGAAAGAAAAACGAAGAAAAGGAAAAGGAAGAAAAAACAGGTAAGAAGGATAAAACTATATAAATCCAAGAAAAATAGCAAAAATACAATAATGGAAGGAAATAAAGAAGGAGGAATTTCTTTTATTGCTAGCACATAATAATCGTACTTGGATGATAATTATCTGAAAAAATTATAAGCTGTCCCTATCATCAAGAACCGTGCCCGGTGGAAACTGAAGGAAATATTTTAATAATGCCGGCACTTGTAATACGATTTTTAGTGTATTGTAAAGCTCTTCCTAGTCGAGCGGTAAAAGCAGACCGGATCAGAGAATGAGAACTTCTCATTTATTACTTTTTCTCGAATACTCACGCCGATAGACGAAATCAATACGGTTTAAAATAAACGGATCGTCTACTCTAATACGGGTATCCACTAAAATAACGTTTGAATTAAGAAAAATAGGATTTAATGTAGTATAACCTGAGGCGCCATTCAGCTAATTTATTATCGATTACATTTTAAAAAAAGAATATTAAGATTTATCTCCCCGTAATACAATGTATCTCTATCCATCTATCATGAAACATATTTTAGACTAGATTTTTTTAAGGTAATTCATCACAAGCAAGGCAGGAGTGTCACTAGCACACAATGGGTTGCAGAGGATTGAGAACAAGAGTAAAGAGGCGTGTTTGTGGAAAAGATACACAGAAGAACGGGGAACAAGCTCGGGGGGTTAGCTGTCGATTGACAATACACTTGAATATTTATAGTCATCGGGGAAGCAAGTAAGGGGAAGGGAGTTCCACAGACGGGAAGTGCGGGAGAAGAAGCTGTTTGAGTAGAATAGACGGTTACATTTAACCGTTTTCACAGTGAAACTGTGGGACCGAGATCCCAGCCTGGTAGGCCGCTTAAATTCATGCCATCTGGGAACCAGCGAAAGTCGCTTGTTGGAACAGTTGCTGTGAAAATACTTGCAGAAGAGACAGAGGGAGGCTACGGCACGTCTGTGGGATAGCGATTGTAGACTAGATGCCAGATCAGGATCTATCATCTAGTATATTCATTTCTGGACGATGGACGTGTGTCGGCCGAGAGATCAAAACAAAACGAAACTTTTCATTTAATCACCACAGAGAACCTTTTCTCCCTGGCACCAGGATGGCTGATGCAAGCATCCAGGACAACAACACTCTTGGGGGTCACATTTTCCACTGGCATGAAGTGGAGCGACAACATCGAGCCAGTTGCTAGGTCTGCTGATAGAAGTTCATTGAATCGTGCCAGAAATCTCCTCTCGTCAGAATACATTTTCCACGTTTATAAATCTACCATTCGCCCGTGCATTGAACACCGCGGCTATATTTGGTCTGGTGCTGTCGAAGTGCATTTCAAAATTCCTTACAAAATTCAAAGAAGGATCTGTAAAGTGATCGATCCGGAACAGGCATCTCGACTTCATTCACTTTCTCACCGACATGGCGTGGCTTCCCTCTGTCTTTTCTAGAAATATATTCGTGGCAACTGTTCTGATGAGCTTTTCTCCCTAGGCAACTGTTGAAACAGCTAGATGAAACCGACTCTTCAATTGTAACAGTTGCTTTTCTCACATTTCTCATCAGTGGAACTCATTTCCGATTTCTTGCTTGCCTGTCATCTACAATCTTAAAAAAATTAAATATAACGTCAATCGCCATCTTCTGTCTTCCTGAACCCTGTTTCTTTATTTCCCGTTTCCTCACTTATCCTCACTAAAGTCTTATTCTCTTTCACTCCATGTAACCCGCGGCATGGTAATAGGATTATCGGCTTATTTGGGGTGAAACGATTAAAAAAAAAATCAAATTTCACAATGTATAAATAGCGTCGGATAATCTGATCTGATTAAAAATATAGAATTCAGAATCAGATAATCCAGGAGAGCATGAAATTAAATGTCCCACTATAAAGCAAGGTCCGTCTTGGGTATGACGATAAACTACACCCGACAGCAAGGGCTTTCATCAGAAAATTCCGAGAAGAGTGGAACCACCTCTTAATTGCTGGTGTTCCTAGGTCTACCTTGACCCCGAGGTCCCAGCTATGGGTAAATAGTTAACCCTCCAAAGGGGTCAAAAAACTATGAAAGTATAAAAATAGGTTTTAATACCAGCAATGCCTTTTTGGAAAATTATTACCATTAATACATCTTTTTGAAAAAAAAATATTACCAGTAATAAAAATGTCAGCATTAAATAACCCATTGAGGCGGATATGCCGTAAACCAAACCAAACCAAACTAAACTAAACCAAACCAAACCAAACTAAACCAAACCAAACCAAACTAAACCAAACCGATCAAGCAAGATAAAAATTACTGGTCAAGAACTTCAAGTAGTGAGATAATTCAAATATCTTTGCTCGATTATCAGCGATGAAAACTCCAGAATATAAATAATTTCAAGAGCAGCATAAACTGTAGTAGTTGCCATTAAACAAAAAACCAAGTGAAGAGGCAAGAAAGTTAGCCTGAAATCAAAGATGAAAGTATTACGTTCATAAATAGGAAATAAAATTTCAGAGTTTAGGCAGGAACTTTAGAATTTTAGAGTTACAGTAGACTTGGTGGTACTGAAGAATGCAGCTCATTGGAAGTTAACAAAAAAACGAAAGAGAAGAGAAAAAACATTCCTCATTGCATAATTTTTAGATTTGCCTCAGGATTAATTGAACTTGTCGATTGGGCAGAGTGAAAGCCGTAGTTAAATACAAAATTAGCTCATTGTTTCAAAGATGGCATCAGAAGTAGAACGTCACCAAGCAACATTTTGGCGCCAATATGAATCGCAAATGTTTAGTAACGACATTGCTTTATTTCAAAAGACAAATAATGAGTTTGTGATGGACTTGAAAAACTACTAATTCCTTGTTATTCAATTTTTCTGATATTTTTGTAGAGCACAAAGAATTTGTAAACAATCAATGGTTTAAAATAGGAAAGAAAATATAATGGTATAATTTACAGTTGTTTAATGTCTGATTTCTTGCTGATTGAACCAAAAAGGAAAATCAGAAGTTAATTGATTTTTTCATTGTAAATGATGAGTAAGCAATACATAGCATCGACCCTTTTCATTTTGTTGTTGTTGTTGTTGTTCTCCTCCTCTTCCTCCTTCACTTTTTCTTCTTCTTCTTTTTCTACCCCTCCTTCTCCTCCTCCTCTTCTTCTTCTTTTTCTTCTTCTTCTTCCTCCTTCTCTTCCCCCTCCTCCTCCTCCTCTTCTTCTTCTTCTCTTCCTCCCCCTCCGCCACTTCTTCTTCTTCTTCTTCCTTCTCTTCTTCTTCTCTCCTCCCTCTTCTTCTTTCTCCTTCTCCTCCTCCTCTTCTTTTTCTTCTTCTTCTTCCTCCTCCTCCTCCTCCTCCTCCTCCACTTCTTCTTCTTCCTTCTCCTCTTCTTCTTCCTCCTTCTCCTCCTCCTCCACTTCTTCATCTTCCTCCTCTTCTTCTTCCACTTCCTTCTCCTCCTCCTCCACTTCTTCTTCCTCCTACTCTTCTTCTTCCTCCTCCTCTTCTTCTTTTTGCCGTACTGTTTGTTAAGCAATATCGAGCCTGATCAGTACCTAGATGGGTGACCCCTCTGGAATATCGTGTGCTGTAAGATTGGATGTGCAGGTAGTGTAATGGATAATGGCTCTCAATTTTTAATAGGAGAGCAGAGTCCCAATTCTCGTTGGATTCGTTCACTACGCGCTTGGGAAAGGTATGCATCCACCTGTTCCTCTCCCCCAGCTAAGGGTTAATTAACAAGACTTCTGTCAGTCAGTCATTACTTTTTCACCCCCTCAATTCTTACAATCTACAAATATTTTCTTCTTTAAATAACCTGCAAATGGCTGATAAGCCGTAAAAAACGAATCACTCAATCAAAATTTAGTCTGTGGATGATCATGGCTCTCCACATCTTCTTGTCCTTTGTAGCTCTTAATAAGTTTTATCTTTCGGCTATCACTCCTAATCCCTGTTCTCCTAACATAGCTCATTATTCCCTGCTTTCCTCTGTCATAGGAATATCAAATTCTCCAAGCCTTTCTTTCCCAGTAGAAATTTCAACTGTCGCTTTCAGATTCTATGTATAAGTGTCCTTTTTTGTTTGTCTTTTCTTTCGTCGTTGCTCATGTTCCGTCTATGGTATTCTCAGTATCCTCCTGTAGAACTAAATTTCTGTTGCCTCAAGTTACTTCTAAATCATTATTATCTAAAAAAATAAAATCTAAAAAAAATATTCTGGATTTAAATAACTTGAAAAGGGTTGATAAACCGTAAAAAAAGAATCAATCAAACGTATTTTTCATTTTACTGACAAAATATTGACTTTATTCTATAAATTATTTTTGGTGAGTATCCTTATCCTTTTGGTCTTTATAAAATTTCAGCCGACGCATTCTCCAGCCATCGAAGTAGACTCTTATTCTTTATCTTATTCAGGTAAGTACCATCATTCATTTATTTTTTGGTGGGAGGTGATCACACCATTTTATAAAATGCACTGTTTAGCGCTTGCACTTGCTTTTAATCTATGAATGATTCGAACATATATCCTCGAATTTGTTATTGTTTATCATAGTGCTTCGATCCATACATTCTCCGGCCACACAAGGTTAATTGAAATCTTTAAGTTGAAATTCTCATCACAATAGCCATCATTGAGATTATTTTTTTTTTATTGCTTTTCTTAGCGTAGCTTCGATATGGCACAATACTGAAAGTACAAAACTTGCTTCTCACTTGTAATTGTTCTAGCAAGACAAGCTTGCTAATCATTACACCACATCGAGGTTTCCAGTGATTTTCTTAGCGTAGCTTAGATGTGGTACAATTCCGAAAGTACAGAGCACACTGTGAGGATCGAACTCACTACTCAGTCATAGTTGTTTTAGCGAGACAAGCTTGCTAACCATTACACCACGTCGAGGTGCCCAGTGATTTTCTAAGCGCAGCCTATGATCGAAAGTGAATCGAATATAATACTCGACGCAAAACAAGAAGTCAAGGAGTATGAGCTTCTTGTAGAAGCCAACGGCCAACATGGAATCCTCTTCACCCATAGGAAGCTAAACATAATTTCTACCAAAAATGTTGTTTTCGAAGCATTTTTCTGACAAAATGTCTGGCATAATTCTTTGGCGTAACTTCATTTTATTCCCTTTATCACTTTAAAAATATTTATGTTCTTAATTTACTCCAATCACTGGGAATATTTACTACAACGACAGTGTCATTTTCAAACAATCGATTTGTCTACAATGTATAAGGTACTAGTCCTATCATTCGGAAGTCTGTAAACTTCCGGTTTGACAAAAGTGTTTGTTCCCAAAGAATCGATTGTGTCTCAATAACAAAGAACAAGCGATCTGTCTCAAGTATCAGGTCATCCCATAAATTCTGTCCGAATTTTAACTTTTTGTTAAAATGAACGAAATTTAAAGAGTATTTTATAATGTCTAATGGAGCTGAACATTATTTTTATGTTTAGATGCATTTAAACTGATCAAATTTTTTTTCAGAGAACAATAAAATAAAATTTTATTTGATTAAAACCCTGCTAACATGGAAGTACCCAAGAATCATTTGAGGCACATAATGCTTTACGAGTTCAAGAAAGGAAACTCAGCAGCCGAAGCGGCTAGAAACATTCACTCAGTTTATGGAGAATAATGAGTGAATGAAAGAACTTGCAGAAGATGGTTTGCAAAATTCAGAGGTGGAGATTTCATCCTTGAAGATGAAGATCAAAATTCATCTCCTTGAAGTACGTGGAGTTTGATGAAAAGCTTCTTGAAGCAGCCCTTGAAGAAAATCCTGCTTTATCAGTTGAGGAATTGGCAGTAGTTCTCAGTTCAAACCATACAACTGTTCATCATCATCTTCAACAACTTGGAAATGTTCCTAAACTTGGAAAATGGTTGCCTCATGAATTGTCCGAAAACAACCTCAAATCCCGAGTTGACATCTGCTCTTCTCTCCATTCTCGCCAACTTGTTTCACCTTTTTTGGATAGACTTTTGACTGGCGACAAAAAATGGATCTTTTATCGAAATGTTAAGCGTCGTAGACAGTGGCTTGGTAAAGGGGAAGGACCCCAGCAACAGCCGAGAAGGGAACTTCATGGGCAAAAGGTTCTTCTTTCAATCTGGTGGGATCGCCAAGGAATAATCCACTTTGAATTCCTACCAACTAATGCAACAATTAATGCTCAAATATACTGTCAGCAATTAGAGCGTTTGAATCAAGCTTTGAGGAAAAAAAGATCTGCTCTAGTGAATCGAAAAGAGGTGATGTTTCATCAGGACAATGCGCGACCCCACAGAGCAAGAATCACGTCACAAAAGATTGGTTGGGAGAAAATTCCTCATCCACCTTATTCTCCCGATCTTGCTCCTTCAGACTACCATTTGTTTCGTAGCTTACAGAATCATTTGGAATAAACAGCTTTTGTAACAGAGGAAGAGGTTAAAACTGACATTTGTGAGTTCTTCGAATCAAAGCCAAAAGAATTTTACAGTAATGGAATTAGTAAGCTTGTTGATAGATGGAAGTAAGTCATAGATAATCAGGGAAAATACATTGTTGATTGAATCTGTAATTAAATGTAACATTTGGTCACTTGTTTTCTTTATTCAAAATTCGGACAGAACTTATGGGATGACTTGATGTAAGTGGTTTGGTTGATTGAGTGATTGATTCATTTTCAACATCTTAACAACCCTTTGCAGTTTATTTAAAGCAAGGAAATCTTTTTTTTTAATTGTAATGCCTTTTTTGAGATAATAATGATTTAGTGATACAAGTCTTACTATTTAAGAAGAGAATAGATGGATTTATACTTAATCAGTATTTGATAAACAAACAAGAAATTATAATGTAGATATAAAGTGGGGGATAAATTCTATATTACAATTAATATAGGAACTGATCCCTCACTTTGTGGATATGATATTTTCTATACAGTTATATTCCAGAGAATATAAATAAATCTACAAGACATGTCTGTATAACAAATTAGTATTGATTGATTAATTCGTGTTCTACGGCTTATCAACCGATTGCAGGTTATTTGAAACCAGAAAATAACTTTTACATTTTAAGAATTTCTTTATGGAGATAATAATGATTTATGGATACAACTCTTGCTAAAAAGACCCCATAGCTTGGTGGGGAAAAGTTGTGGATTCATGCCTTTCCCAAGCGCATTTGCGAGTAAGTGAATATAACGAACCCAACTGGAATTGGAACTCTGCTCTCCGATTAACAATTCCGACAGATTATCAATTACAGCAGAGGCAAATCCAAGTCTACAGGAGCTGATATTCTCAAATGGTCACCCATCTAGGCTCTGCCCATACTCAAAGTTGCTTAAGTTCGGTGAACGCACGGAAACCTGTGTTTCAATGTGATGTGGCCGTAAGCTAAGAAGCTTGGGATCAGTGTCATAACATTTGGCAATGGGAATAACCTAACACGTAATTTTTCCCCTCACTCCTCAAAACATCGTATATTTTGCTTTCCGCGTATTAAAATGTGCATTATGACATTTAAATTGAATGTCTGAAATCTATTATGTTGTCATCTTACTGATAAAACGCGTGAACTACCACAATTGTGTGCCTACAGTTAAGATGAAGAGAAAGTT